GAACGTATTTATACACAATAATCAAAGTCGAACTACATCTGACACACGAGGATATCTTAGTGTCGTAAGTGAACGTATTTATACACAATAATCAAAGTGTAACTACATCTGACACACGAGGATATCTTAGTGTCGTAAGTGAACGTATTTATACACAATTATCAAAGTGTAACTACATCTGACACACGAGGATATCTTAGTGTCGTAAGTGAACGTATTTATACACAATTATCAAATTGTGACTACATCTGACACACATGGCTATTATGATGTCTTCAACTAGCCTCCTGAGTAAATATGTTTATAAACAATATTTAAAGTATAGCTACATTCTATACAACAAGATACTGTAATGTTTGGCGCTAAATAGTAAAGTAGAAATATATAAGAGCAATCAAAGCAGGAATACACCCTATACACAAGAATATTATCAAGTTTCAGCTACCTTCCTGAATACTTATATTTATGAACAACTATCACAACGTTACTAGATTTTACCAAGTTGATATTATGTCTCGCGCCAGCCTATAGTACATTTGTAAACAAAATAAATATGTATTTTACATACTATGGTACCGATTATATGCTGAGCAATGTTACCAAACGGATCTTAGTTTTAATGTAAACATTTTGGATCTAAACACTAAGTGTCACGTACACGTATTTCCAATTATGTGCCTAAAGGAACGACATTTGTTTCAAAGCTTGGTTTTGTATCAACTTCAAATGCATGGGTTTGAGAAACTTGGTAACGTTTCGACAGGTTTATCTGCTCTTCATCAGGTCAACATTTGATGGTTTTAGAAAAATACAAACTTCTTCAAATATGTAACCCATATTCCATAAGACAAAACTGAGGGATCCAATTTCAAACTTAGTTTGAATATTAAAAGTAACGAGTAAACTATAGATATGGTATCTTGCTTCAGGTGAATAACATAAACTCGTAGTCGTGCACAAAACTTTACAACGCAATCGATTGGTTAGGGTTATTAACAAAAAGTATTTAATTTAAAGTTCAAGAACTGGTTTTATAAGTCCGTAAGTTCATGGGTACATTCCTAACACAGACATTTTCTATACTTTAGTTTCTGGACGGTTCGAATATGTATTCATTAAACAGCATTCTTTATATAACCTTAGTGGAGAAGGGGTCGAAACCCAAGAGACCATAACCTTGCAATACTACAGTATTATGATAATACTCGTAGCAAAAGTCTGAGAAGTACTTTTACAAGTTAATGTAAATTATATTGTATAATTCCTGAATATAGGTTTTATCTCTTGTATTGTCTTTATCAACTTTATGCTTTTTTGTGATGACATTTTTAGTTTTAATCAGCTAAAAGTCTGGTGTAAGATATAATTGTTTTGTATGAACTGAAGAATTTATGACGTTGGAGAAGGATAGGCCCTGTTAAAAATCATAATATTTCTATTTAAAGTACTCATTAGATAAAGAGCAAAGATATCGGTTACGGAATGCTGATGTCTTTCTTATCCGTAACACATGGTCTTCTGATCTCCTGTCTGAAATACATGGTCAGGTGATCTAATTTTTGAAAAACTTTTAGTCTTCTGATCTCCTGTCTGAAATGCATGGTCAGGTGATCTAATTTTTAAAACTTTTAGTCTTATTCGATCTTCTTTCTGAAATTCTTGTCCGTTTGATTTACTATCATAACCTTATGACCAACCGATCTACTGTCTGATCACTTTTCTCAAACTTATGATCAGTACATCTTTTGTCTGGCATATATGGTCAACTGATCTACTCTATGAAATTCATGGTCACTTTATCCCCTGTTAGAAACTTTTAGTTTTCAATGATATCCTATCTGAAATTCACTGTTATCTGATACCTCTATTTGACAAATTATAATAAACAAGTAATACAAAGGATTCTCAAATTGTGGTACGTGGAGCTAATGCTGGTGGTACGCGAAAACGTTAACATAAAAATTTGTTATAAGCTCGATTTGAGCTTCCCGAGTACATACACACACACTGCTCTCTTCACTTCTGGACTTGCACATAAACTTGCCAGTGTGTTCTTCCATTCAAATTGACAAAACTCACACCAGATATTTTCAGTTATGCCAGAAAAAACAGCAACATATTTCCAATTACTATGTAAGTGTTAAAGAAACACAGAAGAACATCGTGAAAACAACACTAATCAATTTGCTATCTAGTTCGTTGCTTAAAGGCGAGTAAATGTGTGACTGTATCACTACAGTTGTTTTTTATCCTATATTAATCCACGTTGTGTGTTTGGAAATTTGTTTGAACGCGAACTCTTCCCACAGTTTCGTAGCTAGGAGAACCAAAATTAGCAGGTGGATTCGGAGTGATCCAGGAGGTGTTCTTATCTATATGACGTAGCCTCTACCCTTATTTATGAGTAATAAGGGCTCTACAATTCGTCCGGAAAATAGACAAGTATGATAGGGGTCTAAGAGTAAGTTTGCAAGGTTGCTGAACTCGAATCTGGCATCGGATTTAGTGTCCTTGCTACCCATTAGAGTCAGGAACGACCAAACATGGTGTATATGCTCAGATACCAAAGACGAGTGTCCTAAGGGTGTTTTTGTTCTGGTACGGACCCTCCCTCTCACCCTTAGGCTAGCTATAGAAATAAATGAGAATAATCTAGAAAATTGATCGGTGCATTGAGGCCTCTGTGAATCATAGGGGAGTTTTGAACCCCTAAGCGGAGCGCGGTATTTTATTTTAATACGCATAACAAATGACGAACTGACAATCTGAGGTAGCTTCGTCTACAGTGAGAAAAGAAAACGCGCTCCATAATACAATGGTGCTAAGGAGAAGGAGCTTGCTTCTGAAAGGACGAAAAAAAAACTGTTCAGATGAAATTACGATTATAACAGAAACTAGTAGATTCCACGTGTGGTTGTCTTGCTGGTCAATCTTCTATTTTAAACTCGTGGTTGTCAGATATTAATCGTCTCTTGCTCACAGCTAGCCTTTTCGTTCTACTTTATTGTTAGCTGGTCAGTGTTTGTAACTAATTTTAGCTGATCTTGTGCCAAAAACTAATTCTTACCAGATTATTGACCTTATGCTCATGGTTAATTACTCTCTTGATTTAAAGCTGGCTGTCAGCTGAATTCGGTTAGTATGTTAATTACGATATTATGAACACTCTCTTAGATTGTTAAAATTTAGTTTAATAAAACAAGCTGTTAATTCACCCTCTTCCCTTCAGTTTAAAATTGAATTGGGTTTCTCTTTAAGCAGTTTCGTAATTATATTCTCATTAACATTATATTCTCATTAACTGCGTGGTTATTGAAAGATGTACTGTTACAACCAGTAAACTAGATCTACCGTTACGTTTTAAACTTTTGTGACTTATGTGTCCCACGTGATGAGAGATAAAAATATTTCATCGTCGCTTTTGCAAGTAAAAATATGGTATGAACTTTACAATTAGGAAATCCAAGATGGATATTTTATATTCCATAATAATTTTTATTATATACGTTTGCCTTTCATAAAAACGCATCCATCTTTGATAACTAGGTGTAGCAATGATATAATGAAAATTAACTGGATTTCATAATAACAATTTGTATATCCCGTATACTAAACCTTCTGTCGTTTGATAACCCTAATCAGTTATCCTGAGACGTTCGTAAGTTTAAAAAAGATTTAGGTGTTCTTTGTAAAGTTCCATATCAATCAGATAGGTTCTGAATTATGTACAGACGTTCACGTTTTATATAAATTTGTTAAAATCCTGCAAGTAAAATAAATTTTGTCCACTAACTTTAAGTTGTCCTTGTATGAGCCTCCAATCAAAAAACAGCTGTTGTGTATAACAGGAGAATTAGTATGATAATTATAAGTGCCCTTTTAGTGCTAACTTAAAATGCGCATTTCACTTCTCTCAGGATGTTTACTATGTTCCCTTTTAAAAATCTTTATAATTTAGTTCCTTTACATGTTAAAACACATCTTTCGTTTACGACATTAGCAGGTCATTCGCCTTCCTTAGAGTATCTCACGCCTTCCTTAGTGTATGAAGTTTAGTTTTTATATTAGCATAAAAAGAAACTTCAAGACTTAAAACACATCGTAATTTAGAATGTGTCCAGGGCTTATGGAAATTCAGTAAAGATTACGAGCTCGCTAGCCCTTTTATTTCCCGTGCATATTTCGAAGAACTCTTTCTTGCAGGCTTGAAACTATAGGAAACTTTGTCATGTCTGTTCATTTATAAGCAATGGTTATTAAATTCTTAGTTCTAGAACTTTTAACTTTGTGTGTGTGTGTTTTCTAAGTAACTAAAAACAATCATCGAATTGGGTTTTTTTTCTGACGGAATGAAAATTTAGAACATGCTGATACTTTGGATAAAAGTAGGAATAAAAGGATTTGAGTTTTTACAAGCCGATTAGCGTAGCAATAAACGGATTTGAGTTTTATAAAAGCCGATTAGCGTAGCTCAAGGATTCGGCCCAAATCAAATGTCTTCCTAAATGCAAGTAAAGTGAAAACTGAGGATATCAGCTCTGAAGATGCGGTACCTTAGTTGACTACAACATTGTGGAATGGAGGATTTGGATCTTATTTCATCTTGGTTTATACTTCTTTTAAAAAATAACCAGTTTTATAGGACGGAATGTCACATTTAAAGTTTCTATAATAAGGAAGAAAGGGAAATACTTAAATATTTGAACTTGAGGACGAACAGTCTCTTTCACTTCTACTCCTTTGCCAAACGATCCAAAATTAAATTTTTCTTTCATAGCATCCAAAAATTTCTAGTTACTACTGAAAACTAAGTAAAGTACATTATTCCTGTATGTTTTCAACAAAAATCTCTAGCTGACTAGGTTGATACGTTAAGGTAATAATGAGACAGCTTTATTTATTGTTCCGTACTTACAAACATGTTCTCCAGAGCGTATTTAGCTAGCCAGCAATTGAGGAAAACTGGAATGAAGAGGTTACGGAGGGGAGGCCAAAAAATCTGCAAAATATGTCGCAATAAATCTAGATTACATTTTTATACAAACAAACTTTTGTCTTTGTTTAAACAAGAATAAGAACAAGAAAACACCTTGAATATGTCGCAATAAATTTAGATTACATTTTTACACAAACAAACTTTTGTCTTTGTTTAAACAAGAATACGAACAAGAAAACACCTTGAATATGTCGCAATAAACCTAGATTACATTTTTACACAAACAAGAATACACAAACAAGAATACGAACAAGAAAACACCTTGAATATGTCGCAATAAATTTAGATTACATTTTTACACAAACAAACTTTTGTCTTTGTTTAAACAAGAATAAGAACAAGAAAACAGTTGGTTCGACTGTAAGATATAGACGTTATTTAATAATGTATTTCCCTTGAATATTTGGAAGAAACCTTTCCAGCATATTTGAAACAATTAGCTTTGCCAGGCTATGTTCATTTATAAGTAGAATTATACAGTTGGAAAGATGCAAGTGTATGATTTTGAACCTCCTCTAATTTGCCAGCGAAAAATACTTATTTGTTTGTTGATAAGCGCAAAGCTACATAATAGGCTATCTGTGTTCTGCCCGATTTTAGCGTTATAGATCTTCACACTTACCCTTGAGCTACCAAGATAAATGTAAGTGTATTGACGTAAAAGACGGAATCTTCACCGAGCAGAGCTACTATGGTATTACAAGCAGTATCAACTATTACACACGTTGCTTTATTTAATATTCAAATCAAAACAATCAATACCTACGTAAGAAAGAATGATATTGTAAGAAAGTATTGTGACAGTGTATTAAATTTGTAAAATTATTTTACTGTATACTTTCTTTTAATATGGCTTGTTAAGATCAAATGACAAAAAATATTTTCTGAATCGTCAGATGAGGAAGAGTGTCGATTAAGAAACTCAAGCTCTAGCATGTAGCTTATATAGCCGCATAAATGTTAAAATGTTCCAATGTTAAAAGGATATTATAAAACTTGCACAGGTCAAGTCACTTAAGCGCAAATAAATAAAGTCGGGTTCACAAAAACTGAAACAGCTGGAAAGTGCAGTTTTTAGCTAGACACGAAGTGACTTGTTAAGAGACATCGAAGTTTAATGTTTCAAAGTTACATTTTATCCACCATTATGTTAACAATAAAACTTAGGTACATTTTATCCACCATTATGTTAACAATAAAACTTAGGTACATTTTATCCACCATTATGTTAACAATAAAACTTAGGTACATTTTATCCACCATTATGTTAACAATAAAACTTAGGTACATTTTTGTAAACATCGCATATTCTATATCACAAAACTCAGTTCAGTTTCTCTACAGACTTAACTTATAAAGTGTGAAACATCTTGAAATCAAATTATTTGAACAATACGGTGTATAATATTGAGCATTCTCAAACTTCGCAACTTTTGTTGTTGTTGTTTTTGTTGTTTTTTTGATACCAAAGAAAAATGAATTACCATAGTTTCATGTAAATATTCATTCTGATAAAACTTTCTAAAGTGATTCATAAAAGTCGGAATGAATAAAATAAAAGGTTAATCACATATAAAGCTTTTTGCAGAAGATTACAAATAATATTATTGAAAATAAACAAACAAATTGACAAAATTCAAACGTATATTTTCCCCCAATAAAAAACATTTGAGAATATTTAACACAGACTAAATGTTTGTTGTTGTTTTCGGTATTTTAAATTGTTTACCTTCAGTATTAATTTGGAAAAATTGGTTGCCGAAGTAACGAGATCTTATCAATACTGCTTTGAAAAGTTTTAACATTCAAATCGCCTTATATCAATCAGCACCGTACTAAAACTATGGAAATCGTGTACTTTTGGATTGTTAATTCAGTTTTTGGTTTCTTCTAAATTAGGAACAGTCTGCTCTACCTCAAGAGATAAAGTTTAACAAGAATGTTCTCGGTAGTTAAAAGGATTAAAATTACAGAGCGTCGTCGTAAGTTTGACCGAGGAGATTAGTAATTAAGTTAAATAGACGTTTAGTTCACATTAACAACGGTGAACGTAATTTGTTTCGTAAATAATTATAAAACCTGGAAGGTTTCATTGATTTATTTTATATTTCCGCCTAATAGTAAAACTAAACAAAATACTGCTTACCGTAATTATGAATGGTACGTTATTTACCAGTTCCAAAATAAGAGTAAAAGACATGAGCTGCTGCCAGATGTTTCCCTGTGCCAATAAAAACAGGAAATTGTTTTAAAGTATTTTGCATCGGTTATTGAAAGAGATATTTCGAGTGTGCTTCTTCCTCGGTGAGAGAGAAAAATATGAAACAAACATAATATTGACTCAAGTATCTTACGTCTAAAATATCTGGTTAAGTAGAAGTAAGAAACCAACGTTACTGTGTGGACTGGTTTATTTTCATGTACATCCACACCTGTTAAGATTAACATCTTTGACTTAAGAGTATGTTACTTTTAACAAAGTATTTACAACAATCATATATCGTAAAATATATCACCATAAATCATATATTGTGAAAGATATCACAAGAATCATATATCGTAAAATATATCACCATAAATCATATATCGTAAAAAATATCACAACAATCATATATCGTAAAAGATATCACCATAAATCATATATCGTAAAAGATACCACAACAATCATATATCGTAAAAGATATCACAACAATCATATATCGTAAAAGATATCACAACAATCATATTTCGTAAAAGATATCACCAACCCATAAATGTAGTGATACTTTTCGCCGAAATCACAAAACAACATTTTCTAATTCTTATTACTTTTCCCCACCAAGGGACAAAATATCATAACGGCAAATGCAATAGTGAGCTAGTGTTGTAACCTTACAAGAAGTATTCCCAATTATAGCAGTCATAACGATTGGACTTTAGTGCAATGTTTATTTGGATAAGTTAGTGTTGTAGCCTTACAAGAAGTGTTCCCAAGTATAGCAGTCCTAACGATAGGACTTTAGTGCAATGTTTATTTGGAAGAGTTAGTGTCGTAGCCTTACAACAAGTATTCCCAAGTATAGCAGTCCTAACGATAGGACTTTAGTGCAATGTTTATTTGGAAGAGTTAGTGTCGTAGCCTTACAAGAAGTATTCCCAAGTATAGCAGTCCTAACGATAGGACTTTAGTGCAATGTTTATTTGGAAGAGTTAGTGTCGTAGCCTTACAAGAAGTATTCCCAAGTATAGCAGTCCTAACGATAGGACTTTAGTGCAATGTTTATTTGGAAGAGTTAATGTCGTAACCTTACAAGAAGTATTCCCAAGTATAGCAGTCCTAACGATAGGACTTTAGTGCAATGTTTATTTGGAAAAGTTAGTGTCGTAGCCTTACAAGAAGAATTCCCAAGTATAGCAGTCCTAACGATAGAACTTTAGTGCAATGTTTATTTGGAAGAGTTAGTGTCATAGCCTTACAAGAAGAATTCCCAAATATAGCAGTCCTAACGATAGAACTTTAGTGCAATGTTTATTTGGAAGAGTTAGTGTCATAGCCTTACAAGAAGAATTCCCAAATATAGCAGTCCTAACGATAGAACTTTAGTGCAATGTTTATTTGAAAGAGTTAGTGTCGTAGCCTTACAAGAAGTATTCCCAAGTATAGCAGTCCTAACGATAGGACTTTAGTGCAATGTTTATTTGAGTATAATTATGGTTTTCACTTCACTGTGCAACCTTCATGGTTTGTATAATGGCGAAAAATATATTTTTGCTCTTCCTTCAAAATTATGCGAGGGTTAATTATGATAATAGAGTTTAAAACGATGGGAAGCTAGCCTATTGTGATAATGTAGGTTGAAGGGATAGAAATACAGAAAATATTTATTGTTAAGTTTCTAATTTGAGATTTCTGAAAGCACCTTAATATATTTTTATTTGAAGTGAAGCTTGTAAAACTCACCTTATACCCTAAATAAGCAAGGAGTAAGGCCTCAGATAGGCATATCACGGACAGGGCGACCTATAAAGAAGTAAACGAGTTACAGAAGATAATATTAGAAACTTAGTTAAAAACAGCTACCACACTGGATATGAATCTTGAGGAAAGTTTTATAAGTCAAGTTATTATACTGGCAAATGAAAAATCTGTCATAAGCATTAATTGGGTCAAAAATAAGTATTATTACTTAAACTATAATTATTTACTCGCATATCAATGTATGGGTAAATCATTAAAATTTACACAGAGAAAAATAAGCTTTAGAAGACAAAACATTTGAAAACAGGCTTTTTGGATTACGTAAGTGTTTAACATATAGCGTATCAATAAAACAAGCTTCTTGGATTATATAAGTGTTTAATATATTGCGTATCAATAAAACAAGCTTCTTGGATTAGATAAGTGTTTAATATATAGCGTATCAA